TTTTTTTTTTGCGTTTCTCCTGTTTTCTCAGCCCAGAAATTCGTAATGAACCTGTCGGGCCGCTGCCACTCAGTGTCACACTGGATCGGCCACACTCCTATCCGACTGCTAATGGGACCTCGCCCCGGGACATCAATTGAAACGATTGGAACGATACAGAGAAGATTAGCATGGGCCCTGCGCAAGGATGACACGCATAAATCGAGAAATACCCGAAAAACTACCAAAAATTTGCGATTTCGCGAGAATACGCGGTAGTATGAGTGTGCCCTCAGACGCGGCTGCCGACCTCACAATTCGACCCGGGGCCAAGTCCCCACTAGCAGCGTCGACTTGTCTCAACACCTGAATCTAGGCGCGTTTGGGAAAATGTGCAGACATGGCATCGAGTTTCCTCAACCGCACATCCCACAAACACGTCCAGATTCAGGCGTTCAGCAAAACTCAACGCTGCTAGTGGGACTTCGCCCCCGGGCGAATACACAAGCGCACATCTCAACCATTCGAGAATCCAGATTCAGGCGTCGAGGAAAACTCAACGCAGGTAATGCCGAATCTATCTCTGTGTGATCGCTACCATATGGTGTGCATCTGCATGTAGTGCGGTGTGCTTCATTTGCCCTATTTGCCCTATTTGCCCTATTTGCCCTTCACTGTCTTTACACCACCACAGAGCAAATACTGTTTATTCCCCCCCTGTACATGAGTAATTTGGGTACTAATTGCAGAAGCTGCAATCTGATATAGTCCGCACCAGGGGCCATGCAATTATTCTCTGTATCCTTCCAATTTTAACGGATGTCCACTCTAGTAGCCCCTGTGCAAGGACGACACGCATATAAATCGAGAGATGGTCTTCATTAAAAAAAAAAAAAAAAAAAAAAAAAAAAAAAAAAAAAAAAAAGAAGATATAGTTCGCAGTGGACATGGTGAAACAGCACAAAAATGGACAAACCTATAGCAAACCGGGCCGCTACCCAGCCCATCCTTTATTTCACGATCGCGTCCCAATTGAGGACCAGCAACCTCGCTCCACTATACAACAATCTACATACATCTGGACGCTTTCTGGACCCGATACATTCGAAACGGTGCAATCGTTTGACTGCATTTGGTCCAGACTTGTGTTGTGTAGTGGAGCGACGCCCCAAATTACTGCAACTACTACCGTCTTCCCCCGAACACAACGCACCCTTATTTTGGCTGTATCTGGGCGGAAATATAGCTTGTATACATTCATTTTTAGGGTGCGTTATGTTCGGGGGAAGACGGTAGACTACTACTGCACAAAGCTCATCATGCACATGTCGCAACTTACTGTTTGCCGATATACATAACAAGTATCTAAAAAAAAAAACAGAAAAAAAACAGATATACATAAGTATGTACAGTACATATATATCGTTCACAAAGATATCAGAGGGCAAAAGCGGAAGAAGAATAAACGATTCATTTTTAATCTTCTTACTTACAACTCCCCCTGCTCAAGACCTCTTGCGTACAAGGCCGCCCACGTGGATATAGGTTGAGCGGCGGCTGCCCCCACCCCCGTGTGTCATATCGACCCACTTGCACACAGCCAAAAGGCAAAGAGGCAAAGAAAGAGGAAGGGAACAGCCAATATAACAAAACAGGGGGAAACAAACATAAACAAATCCTAGATGACAAGTCCCACATGCGAGCACCGCCCCCTCCGTCACAGGCCAAACGACGGGACAAGACCAACCAGGATATCAAAACAACCTTGCCTGCAACCAAGCAATCCCCCCGGCCTCGATATTTCAACTATAATACAAAGATAACATTCTACCAAAGCACACACACACACACACACACACCACAAAAAAAATAAATAAATAATAATAATAAAAAAAATAAAAAATAAAAATAAAAAATAAAAAAAAATCCCAGATAACAAACCTTTCGTACTCTACTGCTCACCAGCGACTCTGCGTCAACTCGCAAGACTCCTTTGCGATTGTTATTTGTTGACGAATATATATATTGTCACACTGTGAATCGGAACGCAAAGCCGGAAAAAGACAAAACAAGAAATATATGCGTATGTCCGCAAGAGGTTCTGAACAGGGGGAGTTGTAAGGAAAAAGATTAAAAATGAATTAAGTTTTTCTTGTTTCTGTTTTACGCTTTGGCGCTCTGATATCATACTGATATCATGTGACGATATATATCTCTTGTGTAGTGGAGCGACGCCCCAAATTACTGCAACTACTACTGCTTCACAAAGCTCATCATGCACATGTCACAAGAAACACCCTTCTGTTTGCCGATATATACATATATATTGTCACATATATCATATATATCGTCACAAACAGAACTGCCCGGTAAACCGTAGGCAGAGAGAGAGAAGAGGACAACAAACGAGTGGCTGTGACAAACTGTTTCGTCGGAGTTTCACCGACTCATCAGGAGGCTGAACCCTCAACAGTCTGCAGAGTCCCCTCACTGATTACACTGTAAATGATAATCTACCTTAACCAAAATCAAAGTAGACTATCACTCACCCACACCAGATGGAAAACTCTACAGACTGTCGGTTCACACCCCATCACAAGCAACAAGCAAGCAAAACAACCACGAAACAAAGAAAGGTCTGTCACAGCCAAAAAATACACTCCAGACACGCCGCTGGCACTAGAGGCACAGCATGGCCGCCTAGTAACGGCCCCGACCACTGCCGCTCGACCTGACCGGAAAAAACCGTAGCAGGAAGCTAGCGAAGTCGTAGCATATATCGTCACAAACAGAACTGCCCGGTAAACCGTAGGCAGAGAGATGTATATACATGTATATATACATGTATATATGCATCTATACATACATCTATATATCGTCAAACAGAGCTGCCCGGTAAACCATAGTAGGCAGAGAGGGAGGGAGAAGGAGAAGCGGACAACAAATGAGGGAGGGGCTGTGACAGACAGACTGTTTCGTGGGAGTCTCACCGACTGACTCATCAGGAGGCTGAACCCTCAACAGTCTGCAGAATCCCCTAACTGATTAGTACGCTCGGAGTGATAATCCACCTTAACCCCGGCTGTGGCTGAGCATCAACGATTGCCCGACAACTGATACCCCTCTGAGGAGGTGGGGACCACCAACCACTGCCCCCAAGGTACCCGTGACGAAAATCAACGTAGACTACCACTCACCCACACCAGATGGAAACCTCCACAGACTGTCGGTTCATACCCCATCACAAGCCAGCACAATATATAAATATATGTTGTCACACTGTGAATTGGAGCGCAAAAGCGAAAAAAAGGAAAAGAAAGAAAACAAGGAAAAAATGAATTCGTTTTTTTTATCTTCTTTTATATATATTGTCACACTGTGGATCGGAGCGCAGAGGCGTAAACAGAAAAAACAAGGAAAGGAAAAGACGTAAGGAAGGAGAGCCCCACCTGTTCATCACCTCTTACGTACAAGGCCTGCCACGTGGATGACAGGTTAGAGCACCGGCTGCCCCCATCCCCGTGTCTCACAAGGACCCACATACACGCAGCCAAAACGCAAAGAGGTGAAGAAAAGGAGGAGGAAACCAATCCTCACAGAGCACGCAGCCAAAACGCAAAGAGGTGAAGAAAAGGAGGAGGAAACCAATCCTCACAGAGCAAAAAAACGAAAAAGGAATCCACTCAAAGAAAGGACAAGCGAAGAGGACGTCCTATCAATCAAACAATTTGCAAGCAAATGTACAAATGACATAAATTTCTCTTCTTCTTCTTCTTCTTTTTTCCTTCTCTTCTTCTTCTTCTTCTACATTCTCTTTCTTTTTCTTCTTTTTCTTCTTTTTCTTCTTCATTTTCTTCATTGTCTTCTAGAGAGCAAAAAATTACCAGCAACAAAGAAACGTGTGACACGTGCTCGAGCAGGTAAACAAGTTACTAAGCAGTAAAAGTAAAAGTAGTGAAGGTAAAGTGAGGAAGGAGTAACTAAGCAAGCAGTAAAAGTAATGGAAGTGAAGGGAGGAGTAAATAAGCAGGTAGGTAGACACCCGCGAAGAGATAAGCGTCCCAGTATCCTCAAGGTTCATGCAACGAGTCCTCAACGTCACACAGAACACCACCCACCACCACTCTCGCCTGTCGCTACGGCCTCTCCGGGGTAGAAACCCTGACGCCACTCTTCTTCCATCTCCTCTCCCATCTCCTCTTCACATCACCACCTCTCCACTAGCCGTCGTACCGACATTCCGTCAAACACCGTAACGTTACCGTCAGCCGTCAGCCGTCTGGTCAATGGTCAGGCATCCCTGCTGCGTGTCCGACGACATCCCGTCAAACACCGTTACGTTACCGTCAGACGTCAGCCGTCTGGTCAATGGTCAGGCATCCCTGGTGCGTGTCAGCGGTTTCGGAAGTGCCGGGTTCCCTGATGAGGAGGCAGCGTGCTGCCACAGCCCAGAGGCACGACAGCGTCCGGCCATTTTCTAGCAGGAAAATTTGCCTTTCACCCTTTTGACTTTTCTTGTTCCCAAACCATTTCTGATAACTCTGTCTTCCCACACCCACACCCAGACACACACACACACACACGCACACACAGAAAATTTGCTTTTCACCCTTTTGACTTTTCTTGTTCCCAAAACATTTCTGATAACTCTGTCTTCCCACACCCACACCCAGACACACACACACACACACGCACACA